GTAGAAAGTGAAAGTCGTCTGTAATCCTGCCTGCCACCACAGATGGCTACTGTTGACAGTGTAGAGACAGGTATGGTCTTTCTTCTCCATTGTCTTCTTTCTCTCTTTCTCTTTCCAAAAATGGGATCATACTGTACATCCTTTTTTTTTAAACTTTGTTTTCACTGAATATATAGGAGCACTCTTTTTGTGTCAGTAAATGTTGATTCCTCATTCTTTTTAGTAGTCAGGTAGTACTCTATTTTATAAATATACCTTAATTTTATTTACCAATCCCGTATGGATGAGCGTTAGATTGTTTCCCAGTTGGCTTTTGCATTACAAACAATGCTGTGGTGCTTGTACACATCCTGTGAGACTATTTTTATTTTATAGGATGAATTCTTAGAAATGCATTTACTGTAAGGGAAGCCATGCAGATTTGATATAGTGCCAGACTGCTCTGCAAAATCTTCGTAACAATTCACATTCCAACCAGCAGTGTTTGAGTCTGTTCCTCCCAGCGCGTAACAACATCCATTTATTGTCATCTTTGCCAGTTTGCCAGCTGAAAAAAACGTACTATAGTTTTAATCTGTTCTTCTTTGATTATGAGTAAGATTGAGCAGGGTTTTATATGTATGTTGACTCTTTGCATTTCTCTGTCCTTTGTCCGTTTTTCTAATCTATTTTTTTCTTACTCATTTGTAGCAACTCTTTTTTAGAGTATAGATATTAACTCTTTGCCATGTTGCATTTTTTTATTTGTCATTTATTTTTAATTTTTGTGATATATAAAAATTCCTTTGCTGTTGTAAGAGTATTAAAAAACAAAAAAATCAAAAATTTAAGTTGTCTTATACTCTCAACTTATTTTATAAGGTCCTTGGTGGCTGACTTCTGTCCTAAAACATTTTGTTTTTCCAACAGTACTAATTCAGTGCTTTGTGCGAAGTAAGTGTTCAGATATTTGAATGTGTTAATGGTGAAGGGGTCTAGAATACGCCGCCGTGGCATAAAAATTATTTTGAGCTGAAGGCATTTGAGAATAGGTTTTTTTCCTGAACTCAGGAAATTTTATGCCTAAAAACAGAGCCTCTCAGAACTCAGTTGTCAGAAATCCCCTCCCCAGAGTTTCAAAAACCATGGAGGGTTTATTCTTATCACTGGAGAGAAGAAAGGAAAAGTGGGCCCCACCCCTAAACCGACATCCTATCTCCCATCTATTCATCTAAGGGCCCATTTATCTTTCCTAAATGTCATCTGTTTTCCCATAGGTGCCCTTCTTCCCCTCCCTTCCCCCTATGAAGATGGAAGCCCCAATTCTGACTGCCTCCTTGAGTCACATTTTCCTGTAAGTTCCAGTAGGAGGATAAAAATCTGTCTTTTCTTTTGCTAACCTATCCTTTGTCCATTTAATTTACGGGCCTCAATCCTAAACCTAAGAGGATAGAGGAAGAGTTTTTCTTCCCTAACAATGGCCAGATTGTTTCTGGCTGGTAGGGCAAGGGATAATAAGTGAGGTTTCTCTGTCTAAAAACAAAGTTAAGTGTTTTAAATGTAAAGAGCATAAATGCAATTTCTTTAAACTACGTTTTTCAAAATGTCTTCTCCAGAACTGAACATTTGTTAAATGAAGGGGAATGTACTGTTAGAGAGACCTCCCTTTTCCCTGCTATATTCCTGCAGTAGGAACGCTGTCTGTTAATCGAGTGGCAGGCGTAGTTACTCTGTGTGTTGACTAAGCCTGTGTTCTCCTAACATTATTGTTTCCTGTTCTTTCTTTGCGTCTTAGCAATTTGCATAGGAGGTAGTTTGGGACTGGTTCCACTGGTCACATCACTGAGAAGAAACAACAAAAAAGGTCATTCAGTTAAGGTTAAGTAAGTAACTCTTCATACACAGAAGGTGCTAATTTCTTAAAAGGGTAAAGGAATCTTAATTTGATTACAGTGATTTTTCCCTTTATCTGGATTTCACATAACTAAAAAGGTTCATTAAACCTTGAAATATTTACGTGTTTAGTTATCTATCTATATATTGTATCCTGTACCGTACTACCCTCTGTTTACTAGATGTGCGACCTTGCACCACGGCAGTCAGTCTTTCTAAGCCGTATTTCCTCATATGTAAAATGAGGGTAATGGAAGTCCTCTCTCACAGGGTTAGCTGTGAAGACTAGAGGAATGAGGGAACATTGAACACTGTTCTTGCCTCATAGTCATGCTTAATAAATGTTAGTGAAGGTGAATATTTGTGTGAGAGAAATAAGTGGAGGTCAGTTTTGTCTTAAAAAGCAAATTTGAATGGCTGAAATAGGGCCCTTGAAAGCAAATGTCAAGGACCCTATTTGAATATATAAGTCTGTGTTATTTTTCTTCACATTATTAATATTAACATTTGATTTGCAAAGCACTTCTTTGTACCAACAGTACTGGCAAATTGACATAGGAGATTTTGTTGCTTTTTCTGTTCTGAGCGTCAAGAATCTGAGGCTAATGGGGGTTAGTTGTCTCACCAAGGTCAAGGAAGTAAGAGTAAGAAGTAAGGAGAATCAGACTTTTCCTGCTTGTCTCAGAATGGAGACTAGGACCTGAGAGTGAAGTGTAGAGTGAGATCAAGGACTCCACGTTCTAAGGAAAGCCCCAAGCACTCAGTGGCCTGAATCCTTTCCCGGGCTTATGAAGATGGGACAGAAACCCATCAGAAGATGGTGGGGGGCCTGGCCCAGTGCTGTAGTGGTTACGTTTGTGCACTCTGCTTCAACAGCCCAGAGTTCGCAGCTTTGGATCCTGGGTGCAGACCTATGCCCTGCTCATCAAGCCATGCTGTGGCTGCATCCCACATACAAAATAGAGGAAGACTGGTACAGATGTTAGCTCAGGGGCAATCTTCCTCACCAAAAAAAAAGAAGATGGAGGGGAAGGGAATTATACACAGTAGTCACTGCAGTGGCTAGTTTGCCTAGAGAGGGGCACTGTAGGTTTGCTCCCTTCTTCCTCCCTTGGGATGGCTTTCCCTTAGATGCTTAGTGGGGAAGCCTGAGAGGTTAGTAATATTATCAAAAAGTGAAGTGGAGCATCTCATGACCTAGACAATAGTCTTTATGTGGCTGATTGGTTTATCTGCCTGTTTGAGCAAGGGATAAAGAAAATTGGAGAGAAGTCTCAGTATAGACAGAGGGGTTGGCAGTGGAGTGGCCTGTATTTGTTTTGAATTTATGTTAGTTCAAGTGGGTGATGCAGAAGGTAACTAGGCTTCGGCCATCTTGCCAGGGCTGGCTCTGCGGGAGAGGGGAGCAAAAGTAGTTAGCAGAGGTTGAGTGGAAGGCGGATCTTTAGATAAGGAAGTGTGCGGTGAGTAAGAGCCCCTCATCCCAGTCGCCAAAGGGCTCCGGCTTGTCCTCAGAAGAAGAGCTGGCAATCCTGACTCATATGGTATAGTCACCGTTAGCCAGAGAAGTGGCAGCAACCACAGGGGACCACAGTCCTCGATGTTGTTCTCCATCATCCCTACCCCCTAGGTAGATCAGGCCACACCCCCTGCCTGGTGGAACTTCCTTGGACAATGGCTAAACCTGAGTTTGGGGAGAAAGGGGATGATTGTAAGATTGAAGATTAAAATTTTAAACAGTAGTCAATTGGACTGGACTTGTTAATGACTAAAAGCTATGGAGAGCTATAGGGACTGCTCCAGATGTCATTAAGGGTGGGAAAGGGAAATTGGACCAGCAGTAGTTGGGGGGAGAAGTTAGAGAAAAATAAAACCTTTTCTCCTGTTTGTACCGATTTCAGACCCTTTGTTAAAGTTACATAAGTATCAGCTTAAGTTCCTACTAAAGCCCCTCTGACACCGAACCCATTGTTTTCTCTATATAAAGCTGTTAGAATATGTACGTGACCATTTGATGTTCCTAATGGTTCTATTTCCAAGTGTTTTCCAGTTCTGCTCAATAATAATTTTAGCATCAAGCATATTCTATTTAATTCTAAGAATTTGAAATTTATAAACTGTATGATAACCTTTTTTGGCGGAACATTAAGTAAAGTATTTTATTTTTTAGTTTTTATGGAGATGTTGGAGTTTATCAAACCTTGGGAACATTAAATAAAAAGCACTCCATAAAAATCACTAGTTTAATATATTTTACTTAGTATAGGAGATTTGAGTTTATGAAGTTTTAAGTTAATTTTCAGCCATTATTCACATATAAAAGGTAAGTGGGTTTTAATTTAAGTAATATAGAGCAATAAACTATAAGATTGAGCTGGATTAGATAATACCTAGCTTGTGTCTGGCCCTGTTTTAAATACTTTATATGTATTAATCCATGCAGATCTTCTATGGTATAGGTGCTGCTGTTAGTTCCTTTTTACACACGAGGAAGATGAGGCCGCAGTGGTTCCCTAGCTTGTAGGGGTGGCACAGCTAGGCCTTGGCGGAGCAGGCATTCACACCCAGGCAGTCTGACTTTAGAGTCCATGCTCTTAACCACAGAATTATATTTGTTCTCATACGGAGTGGGATAATCTTAAAATGAAGATACGTATTGCACGGGTGCGCGTGCGCGCACACACACACACACACACACACACACACACGTTCTACTTTATTTTTCCTGCTTTATTCCCTGTTCTCCACATAAAGGAGATGAGTTTGCCTGTGTTTGTTGTAGTGCTGCCTGAGGTACTTGGTAGAACATTCTCTCCACTCAAGGTCTAAATATATATGTTTGCTGGGTTAAATTTGATTGACTTTTAACAATTAACTACTCTTTTTTTTTTTTTTTTTAAGATCTTATTTTTTCCTTTTTCTCCCCAAAGCCCTGCGGTACGTAGTTGTATATTCTTCGTTGTGGGTCCTTCTAGTTGTGGCATGTGGGACGCTGCCTCAGCGTGGTTTGATGAGCAGTGCCATGTCCGCGCCCAGGATTGGAACCAACGAAACACTGGGCCGCCTGCAGCGGAGCGCGTGAACTTAACCACTTAGCCACGGGGCCAGCCCCTACTCTTTTTAATATTTAAAATTTGTTAGAAACTTTTCTTGGGTAATTTTTTGATTTATATTCTTTGACTTTCCTAATGTTTCCTTTGCATCGTCGAGAAAAGAATATTAAGAGGTCGGGGGAATACACCTGCTTTTTAAACATCTATCCAGAACCCCTTCTATAAATACTTTTTAAATTAGTGCTCTGTGATATATCTCATTTCCGAGATACGTGTAAGTTGAGTTGTTGGTGCTGATCACACAGGCACGCCTTTTTTCACAGCTTTACCATGGCTCTTACTCTTAAAGTAGTTGAAATTGTATAGATATTTGCATAATATAATTGTTATTCATGTTGTTTCTTAGACTACATTTAAAATCTCTGTGAGAGAACAGGAAGAAAAAAGATAAAAACTACTGCTCCATCAATTGAAAATGAAAGTGAACAAGCCCATTTATGGGGCAGTTTTTAAAGTCAGATAGTTTGAGAAATGACACCTGATTTTTACCCGTTGATGATGCTGAGACGCCCTCTGGAATGTTAAATTGCTTATGTTGTTCCATAAAATTTTCTAAACAAAATGGGTTATGGCATGTAGACATTTAAAAAGAATCCCTTTCCTTGCAGGTTTCTCTTCAAAACAAAACAAAAACCTTTGCTTCCTGATTATGAAAGTAATGCTCACTGAACAAATTTAAAACACTGAAAAGCCCCAAGAAAAAAGTAAAAAATCCCTCATGTTCATACTATTCAAAGATAACATCTGTAAGCACGTAAGTTAAAAAAAAAAACAAACCTGACTAAATGTTTCTACCGTGACTTAAGAACTTGAGGAGATTGAGTAAAGCTGAAATTGTGTTTGTGCGGTAAACCTGAATCTCTCTGAACCTGAAATACAAAAAACTCAGAATGAAGGGGACAGAGAGGGGAGTTTCTAACTTTCTAAAAACAGGAAGTTTGGGAGATTTGGCTGTTTGGTTCTAGTTATTAGATCATCCTTTTTTATGTATATTCTCACTTTTTCAGCTTTGCAACTTTAAAGCTTTAAAAACAAATTAAGGTGTTTCAAATTTGATGTGTTTTTCTGTAATAATGGACTAAAATAGAATAAGATGTGAGGAGGTAGAACCTAAATTGAGGGAGGTCAAAAACCATATGGAAACTGAAAATCCAAAACCTCTAGCAGAATAAAGCTAGAAAGAATGGAATCTAAACACTGAAATTAGACATCTGCCAGGCAGCTGTGCATTCTTTATTCATAGGTTCTGCCGCAGAAATAGCAAAAGAAGCTTTGAAAGGAAAACCTATCCTAAATAGACCAAACGTATATTCTTATTGCTAATCATGATATGTACGTTTTCACTGTGTTTAATTCATCTTTAAGTGAATTGTTCCTCTTTTTTAGGAGTTATCCCTTTTATCCCTTTTCCAAAAATAACATCATTTTTTGGGTTAAATTTAGGTTTCCTAGTTATGTCTTCAGCACTGAATCGACATTTTATTGAATTACAGATCAGGGGCTTTTCAGTGATACTGAAAGAGTGTGATGCTGTTGTAGATTTGTCATTTCCTTTATGTCAGTATTTAAGGATATGCGGTACTTTAGTATTTTGCCCTTCAAAAATTGCCTCTTCTGAATTTGTTTAAACAAATAATCAGGCACTTTAAAGTAGTTGAAATTTAAAAAGGGAAAGGCATAAAAAAGCTTTTACTGTGTTTTATTTAGTCCTACGATGCTTTGTAATTACTCATATTTGTATAGCTGTCGTAGCTTACAGAGCACTTTCATATCCATATCTCCTGTGATTTTCATTGTCTCGCTAACATTTTTTCTCTCTTGACTTGAAAATTAAGACAGAAGACTGTCAGTTCAGTCAGTGATCGTGGAATGCTTTTTAGTTTTCCCTACCATAAAGTTGATACATACTCAGGACTTAGAAAACATAGAAAATTACAGCAAGAAGGAAAAATATCCCCAACATCTCATAAGAACCATTGTTAATGTTTAGTGTAATTCTTTTAAATCTTCTTTTTGTATTATTGGTTTTTGCATAGTTTGTCCTGATGTTGAGGATGCAATATTTGTGTCCTTTTGAAAGTCACGTCTTAAGCGTTTCTGATAAAAAATAGTTCTTAACCATTTTTGGGGCACTGTTTCAGAAAATTTCTCTCCTTGAGGAGAGAAAACATTTTAAGCTAGGATCATTTTACATAGATACACACACACAGTGATTATATATATCAAGAAAAAAATAGATCAAACAATAACTCGCTATATGGGTGTCATTGGTGAAACTAAGGTACGTGCCTTGGTCGCATGTCTAGATACATAGATACAGATACAGCAGTTAAGAGCATGGACTCTGCTTGAGTCTAAAGCACAGCTCGGCTTCCTCCTCGCTGTGCAATGAGCAGTTTTGGCAAATTGATTAACTTCTCTGTGTCTGTTTCCTCATCTGTAAAATGGGAATAGTGATTCCTACTTTATGGACTGATTGTAAGTTTATATTTATAAAAATATAAATATATATGTTTTTTATATCTTAAAACTGTATGTGACCCGTGGTAATGACTTTCTAAGTTACCTAAAATTTTAGCTCAGGGACCATAATCACTGACTGCTTGCTGATCGAATTAGCAGACAAAAAATTAGTAAGGATATAGAAAATCAAACAACATAATGAAAACCTTAATAGATATAGAATTCCACACCCAATAAGGGTAGAATATGACCCATTTTGCTGGGTCTTAAAGCAAGCCTCAGCAAACATGAAAGGATTGAAATCATTCACAGTGTCTTCTGACTGTAGTGGAATTAAGATAGAAATCAACAACAAAGGATAATGAGGAAATCTTTGAAATTAAGCAGTATACTTCTAGATAATTCCTGGATCAAATAAGTTACAAAGGAATTAGAAATTATTTTGGATTCAATAATAATAGAAATATGTGTCATATCAAAATCTGAGATTCTATACTTAGAGGAAATGTTATAGCTTTAAAAATAGGTATTAGAAAAGTAGAAAGGCTAAAAATCAGTGTAATTTAAGTGTCCATCTCAAGAAATTGAAATGATTGGAGTTCATTTTTCTCAGTTTTGATTGGCTGGAGTGTGGGAGAATTTCAGTTTTATGTTTTACACAAATTCCTTTGTTAGTAAGATAAGAGGAAAGGTATGATTGACCAAAATAGGTTTACTTTGTTTTCTGGTTAGTCCGTTTGAACCCTCTCTCCCCAAAGCTCGATTCCAAGTTTGCTTGATTTCTAGGAGGCGCTCTCAGTACCTTCCTGAGAACCTCCCATTTTCTTGGCCCTTCCATAGAACCCCTAACTTTTCTAAGGAGGGGTAGACAGACATTCTGAGGAAGCCGAGGCACGAACTCGGAGATGAGCACTTGTAGTCTTGGTAATTATTTCTAAGTCTTTAAGACTTGGAAAGTATAATTTAACTCGGTAAGTATGTGATGAGCACCTCTTACAGCCCAAGACTGTCCAGACCTGGTTCTGTCATTGTGAGTAAGATAGGCCTGCTTCTGCTCTAGGGGGAGACAGCGCTAGAGGGGCACAACCCCCCCGGGTGTGTGGTCACAGTGTGGCGTTGGTGCTGGGAAAGAAAGCGTGGAGCACCAGGAGAGCGGATAACCAGGGGGCTGACAATATGGTGAGATAGGTAAAAAACTGATTAGAATAAAATTGCAAAGTAGACCCATGAAGAATCGTAGAAAGTGCATTTTTGAATGATGAGGGAATAAATCTTTAAATGTGTTACCTAGACTGACTTAAACAGTCCAGAGGCCTGAGTACTTATCCTTAGTCCAATACTAATTAGCTGGTGGGCTTATTCAGGACATGCTGTAGGCCTCAGTTCTGTGTTCTGTGGAAGGGAAGTCGTTAAGCTAAACTAGATTAGATAATGGCTCGGTTTCTAGAGCTGAAGTGCAAATTCCATTGAAACTTTTATTAGCACTTTAAAGAGTATTTTTCCTCTAATTGTGAAAATAATATATATTATTTTTAGAAAAATTTGGACACTGTAGAAAAGAAGGACCCTCTCCCCCAAGTTTCATTTGTACTAGAGATGTGAATTTTGTTACAGAGAATATATCTTAGAGATTTGATCTCCCCACAGCCTTGGGAAGGGTTAACAGGACAATATTAATCAGAATAGGCTACATGATGCCTTATTCATGAACAAAATCCTCAAATTTCGGTGGCTGGACAGAGCAAAAAGTTTTCCTTCTTGCTCCAAGTCCAGCTTTTGTTGAGTAGGCAGTTGAGGTAAAGCCTGTTGGAGGGTTTTCCATCTCATAGCTGCACCTCTGCAGCGCAGGGCTTTGCTGGTTGTGTGGAAGGGAAGAGAACACTGAAGGGTCTGGTAACCAGCAATTATGTAACTTCAGCAGTCGGAAGCAGTCATTTGGCCTTACCTAACTGCACGGGGACAGAGGAGTGTAGTGCTTCCATGTGCCGGAAGTAGAGGAGACCTGACTGTGGGTGAGCTTTGAAAAGTCTTAACGACGACAACCCTGCTTTTCCTGGCTGTGGTTGAGTAGAGTGAGGAGGGACCCTTGATCCAGGTGGGGCCAACTGGATCATTTTGCGTAGGAATTTGCTTTTGGGTCACTGGAGGCTGGAGTTAGCGTTGGAGTGCTCAGGCCCTTAGACTCACAGGCTTTGCTCCCGCTCAGTGACGGTGGGATCCAAGCAGCTGAGTAAGCAGAGGTTGATCTGTAGGGAGGAGAGTACATCAGATGCATTGCAGAAATAAGGGATTGTGTAGCTTTGGGGAGAAAAAATAACTTTATTGGAGTTCAGTGGCTTTCCGTTTCTTGTTCTAGATCCTTAATGAAGGCTGGCTGTAGTTCCTACACACAGATTTCTTGGGAATATGTATGGTTTCCCAACACATGGAATATTCACAAAAATTGGGCATGTTTTATGCCACATAGAATTAGATTTTCAGAAAGCAGAAATCATACAGGCTATATTTATATTTTCTGACCACAGTGCAATAGAAATGAACAGCAATAGGATGCCCCCCCCCAAAAATACATACAGAACAAATAAAAACATAAATGCAAAACAAAAACACCTACCTGCTTTGGGGGAGGGGAAGAGACATACTTTTTAAATAACTTGTGGCTTAAAGAGATAATCATAACTGAAGTCACACAGTTGAGAAGTTAATTACAGTGAGAGCACCACATATCCATGTAGCCAATGTGAAAGCCTGTGGGAAATTCATAGAATTAAATATTAATTAGTAAACAAGATGAAAGCTGAATGAACAAAGTTCAATTCACCCTGATTAAAAAAAAAACAACAAAATTAACCCAAATAAAGTAGAAGGAAGGAATTAATAAATATAAAATTATAAGTTAATGAAAAACAAAACTCTTGATCAGCAAAATCCAAAGCTGGCAGACTCTGGGCAAGTCTAATTAAGAAGAAAATAATAAAAAACAAGGTAGGGACATCTCTATAAATACTGAGATGAAAGCTGTAAAAGAATATTATGTATAACTTTATGCCACACATTCTGGAAATTGGATGAAATAGATGACTTCTGAGGAAAATGTAAGTTATTGAAATTGTCAGAAGGAATGGAAAAGCTTGATAATCCAGTAGCTGATGAAGAAATAGAAAAAATTGTGAAAGATACACCCTTTGAAAGGCCCACGTTTTTACAAGACTTTAAAGTAATTGATGATTTCTGTGTTACGTTTGCAGAGGAAAGAGAAAAGTACAAAAAAGGAGATGCTCTCTGAAGCTT